CTCTTATGACTAGACATAGAAGATATGTGGAATTGCTCATGAAAGATGCATTTCCAAAGCAGTTTCATGACCATTTTAAAAATTATGTTCCCAACCTGTACTTTTTATCAGCTAAAGGAAGGTAAAAACAGAGCTACATAGGCAAACATACGCATTTAAATAGCCTTCATGTATATTCAGTTGGACTGCAAAGAAGAAGTAAACAAGAGAAACAGTGAGGAAGCTCCAACACAGACAGCTCAAAAGCTCCCTAGAGGATGAACGCTGTCATGAGAAGCTCTTATCCATGCAGTTTGCTCCAGTTAACTCTAGCACGGTAGTGGGAGGCAGCCTGCTGATGTGCAATTGAGCAGTGCTGATGGGTGGATTCACGAAGGAAATCTCTTGGCTAACGTGATACCTGAGAATCAAGAGATCTGGATTTTGTTGTTGGCAACCGTGTAACCTGCTTGTGAATCAGTTCTGCCTTGATTTCCTTGCCTTGAGGAAAGAATAGATTTGCATGACTAAATACATGAACAAATAAAGCATTCTGCTGGCAAAGAAAATGCAGGGAAAGAATTTCTAGCCCTCTCTTGAGCACTCTCATCTAAGGATTACTAGGAATGCTGAAATATTGGTTTATCTTGTGTGTTTTTAAGCAACTACAGTGCATAGTTCTGCAGTTTTCTGTTCTGGTATCACTTTTTGTATGTATCTTATTTCTCTCAGTTTAAATCATAGATTTGATAGGAACTTAAGACTGCCAAAAAGAGTGAAGCAGCTGCCTAGAAAATGAGGCAAACCCACAAACAGTGATGGTGGTAATAATAATAGTAATAAGGTTATTAAGTTTCAAGGTTGTAGCCTTTAAGCACCGGAAGAAGTCCTGTCTTTGACAGGTAATTACAACAGATAATTTGACAGGTCGCCAGTTCAAAAGTGTAAACCTGGATATATATATGCAGAAATAGAAGTTTTTTTCATAGAATATTGTTCTAAAGAACTATAGTTCTAAAGAACTATAAAGATTATTTCTTTTCTTATAGCATATATGACCACTGGGATGAGTTGGAAGGCCTTCTGGTTCTCAGTGTTTCGCATTTTGAGTTGGTATTTAATAAACTCTGGTGCAAATAAAAGGACCATTAATTAACCTGCTTCCTCTCTTTGTGACATGCAGTATAGGGGTTTAAGATGAAGGCAACACCAGTGACTGCAATAGAAAATTAACTGGAAAAGTAAATAATCATAAGCATTGGTTTGGGAAAACCAAATACACAAGTGTTTGTGTTTTGTATATGGGCTAGCTGTGTCTAAGGGAAGACAGGGAGATGTACACCTGATTAATAGCGTACACAGCAGCGGTCAGTGCGTCTCTCTAATTGAACACCACCAGTTTTAAATGTTTTTGATAATTCTTACTTACAGCACTGTGCTAGAATCTCTGCAGATAAAACTTGTAATATTTGTATAAATAATGCTGTGGCTATGGAAGAAATACTAGCCAGGTAACTGAGAGGTGATGCATGTTATGTATGAAGCATAATTCTTGATAGTGCTACACATAGGTTTTCAAGTTATACTAGGACTGAAAGTGCATCACTCCTCTCCTTGGGTGTTTTGAGGTGCTCTTGTTCTTTCCAGCTTCCTCACTTAGGGTAGTTTTTCCTTTTCAGTTTTGGACTTGTGGTTTCCTGTTATTAGTGTCCTAATAGGCTTCCAGTTGTCGCTACAAAGATCCCTTTTGCCATTTTTGATGCATGAGGCAGTGCTGGAAAGAGTGACCATGAAAATGCGATGTTTGTCATTTAAATTGTGCCATTATATTCCCATTTTGATTCTCTTTCTATGCCTGCCTTTCCTTAGAAATTGCTGTGGACCAATTATTGAACAAAATCCTTAGGAACTATAAATTGGCAGAGTGTTTGTAGTGCACATGGGAAAGAGAAGCGCGTTTTGTTGCTTTGTAAGCAACCTGCGCCACTGATCTCAGAAAAGAGTCTGCATTTAGAAAACAGCCTTATGCTGCTCATGCTGGGAATTTGTTTGCTTGATTAGATGAAGATGAAACAGCCTAGTCTTATTAACAGCTTCTCACAGAACATGTGTGTGAAGTTCAGAGAATAAAGAGGTGAAACCAGAAGATCTCCCCTTTCTTGCATGTGCATATCTCAAGTAAGGGCGATTGCAGCATCATTTCATGAAGATACCAGCAAATTCTGACCTTGCATGGGAGCAAAGCCAGGCTGCAGGTGACAGTCTGGTGCGTGCCTGCTTTTCTGAAGTAGGGGAAGCTTAGCTGATGCTAAGCTTGTGCATGGTCTGCTTCTTATCCAGGTGCAATGTTTTGGTACTGTGGTTGAATAAGTATGGAAGAAGAACTTTCAGTGGTGAGATCTGGGGTTCTGGTCCTGACAGAGAAGCAGAGCTATTGGATGGCTGTGGGCGGTGTGCTACTGCAAACACAACTTCAGTGTCCTAAATTTATATTTAGTGACTCTTTTAATTGTTCTCAAGTGGTTTCAGCTCTTAGTTGAGATGAAATGAGTATGAAAAGGCAATAATAGTAAATGGTAAAGGCCCCCGTTAATAAGTATTCAGTTTATCCTTCTGCCTAAGGGATATTTAAAGAGGATGAATTCAACTCCTCAGCACTTACTTAAAGACAAAGCACAAAGAAGTAGAAAATCAGAAGAGAGGGGAGGAAATAAAGTTTGCTAGGAATGAAGGCAATGTGCCATGTTTCCCTTGGGATCATTCATTCTGGGAGTGGCTGCAGGCAGTCAGAGCAAGCTCCTAGCGTGCAGGGATGAGCTGGGTGACCTTTCTGAGGTTTCTTTGAATCCTGCACTCCAGGGCTGCCCTAGGCTGTTCTGGCACAGAGCTTTGCACTCCTGCACATCTCACTGAGCTAGGGACTGAATAACAGTTAGTTAGTTGTGATATAATATTTAGGCATTTATGTATGGAAAAAGGATATTTTGGAATTGTTTCTTACCTAGCACATTAGGTTTGCTCTCCTCCAATTTCTCTGTCTTTTATGGCTTACTGAACTCAAACTGTTACTTTCCCATTTGCCTTAATAGGAAGATGTAACACCAAGCAATGCCATGTATGATGGAGTCATTTAGTGATGTGTCTCCCAAGCTGCTGGATGTGTGGGTATTCAGGGAGGAATTTAAGGATAAATCCACCAGTGCTTAGCTTTCGGTTAGACTGATTGCCTGTGAAGATTTCCACTTGCTTTACTGTCTTCTGTAGATCCAGAAATGTTTTTCCTACTACCGGTTTGTCAGAAAGAACCATGCTTCTTCAGCTTGCTTCATGATAATGTGGAACCGTTTCATTTCAAGAATGTAGCAGTTCTTACTCTCTCATTTCTCGTTCTTAATAAACCTTTATAGCATTTAAAAACCCCAAATCCTTCCTCCCTTAGCAGTGAGAATTATCTGGTAGCATCCTTTTAGGTTGAGTGTCGAACTTGTAGTTATTTCATTTGTAACATGGACATTTTACTATGTCTGCTCAGAAGTGCTTCTTTTTTTCAGTATAAATGGTGCAATCCCTTCCTGTTGTTTTTGCAAATGATTCATAAGAATCCATGCAGAACATAGATGCATCTAGTCTGAAAATGTTATATGCCTGCCCACATATAACAATGAAATGTGTGTTTTGCTCCTAAGATTGCAAATACTTCATTGATGTCTGCATATAATTAAACATGTTAGATTTTCTTTCTGGCTGTACTTTCTCCATTGGCAAATGTATCCTGAATGCCAGCAGCTGTTATTAGGAAAATATACCCCGATAAAACGTCTGTTTCTGTATAGGTTTGATTTATATAAGGCCTTAAAACACTTTGGCTTTTCTTAGCCTGAGTAACACTAGAAGTATTTCATGGATTAGAAACCCATTTTTTTAAGAAAGCAGTTGTGTATACCAAAGCTGTTTATCTCACTGCAAAAAGTGACTACAAAATGAAAGGATTTAAAATATGAAAATTACTCACATTTTTCAGGTGAGTAGGCTATAGAAATAGGCTATAAAGGATCCATTTGGCAGAAATTGTATGAATAACCTACCATGCAGACACAGGATCTGGTGAACTAAGGGTGGCTCTTTCACCATTGTTACCTGTATTCATGTACTTTGTGTCTTCTGAGTCACTGTCTTTCCACTTCTTGATACCCACAAAGATTTTGGCCCTTCATAAAAACTTTCGCAGCCCCAGCTTCCCATCTGTTAGTGTTTCTTATAGAAACAGTCTTATATTCTAAATAAAGTCATGGTGATGTTCACATGGTCCCCAACAGGATGTATGGAATATGATGGTCAGACTGAAGTTTCCTCTGCATTTCTTTATTCCATATTTGCCTTCTCACCCACTGTGTGGGGTGTTGAACATAGGTGGTGTTTTTCCTTCCCCTCCTTCTTCTCAAATTTTTGTTTCCCTCCTTTGGTGGGTTGTGTGAATCCGTCAGCTCAGCTCACCAGCAACTGTTCGTCTTACTTTCCTGGCTTCCTCTTGCATAACTTTAAATGGAGGATGATTTAGAAGAAGTAAGTTCATCAAAGTAAAGATGAAATAATAAGGAGGAAGAGGACATTATGTACAGTGGCTTTAAACTTTCTTGCTTTGCAGATTGTTAGACATTTTTCAGCATAAGTCTCTCCAGGAGAGTGCATTTCAGGCTCCTACCCTGGTTTTCAGTACTTTCTCTACAGAGAGACCACTTTTCTCCATGGGCAAGTATTTCCAGTAGAAGCCACTTGCCCAGCATACATATGATCCACTGGTATATCCCAAAAGGGCATAAAGAGGAAGGTGATCATCTACCTCAAGGAAGGAAGCAACAGCAACAAGATCAATACTTCTTCTCTGTAGTCACTTCATGCCCTGGTTACATACATTCAAGTTATGACAGAGATCTTTTGTTTCAGCTTAAATGTATTTTAAATGTAAATCTAGCAAAGGTGATTGAATAATTTAACCTCCATTTTCTGCTCTGCTTTTTCAGGATTGTACAGTATATGAAACAGAGAATAAAATTCTTCATGTGGTGAGTAATTTTCTGGATTTCTATTAATAAATATTATTTGTCTCTGTGTATATAGGAATCTGTGTATGTTTTGTGTTTTTTTGCATGCAATGCCAATGTGATAGTGAACAAGTCTGGGTGTGACTGACTGATGAATATATGGAAATTACTGTGAATAGCGGCTGATTTAATGGAAGCCAAAGGCAGCATCTGAGCAGTGAGGAACTTTGCAAGGGCTTGCATTTTAGTCTGGTTCAGGCCCATCTGTGATTTGTAAAACATGGTCAGAGGAATATTTTTGCAAAATGACATTTTATTCTGGAATGCTGATTTCTCGGCTTCTATCACTATATGTTAGTGATATAGTTTCATTTTTATAGCTTTATTCCCCTTAGCCTTTTGCAGTCACTCTCATAACAGGAAAATTAATACAGTACTTTTCTGCTGAATTCTCAGCAGAAATACAGTGGTCAGTTCCCAGAATCTGCAGTTTTACTGGATGAGATGGCAAAAACTTGAGCAAACTTTTTCAGACAACTAGTGAGATGATACAACACCTCAACCTTAAAATATTAAATTGCCTTTTATGCTGTGACTGTGGATTAGTGAGTATTAAGTTAAGCCTGACCTTGTGTCTAAAAGTCAGATATGAATACACTGTTGTTAAGAGAAAGTAATGAATTGATTTAATGGAATGGAACAGGTAATATTTTACAGCTCAGTTTATTTCACATTTGGATAGGTTTTGATATCTAATTTTCATATTCTTGAACTTGAGCAGAAAAAAAATAACTTGCTTTGTTTTCAAATGTGAGCTTCGTGGTTAATTCTGTTCTACATTTTTTTTCAGTGCTCCCATATCCAATGCATGGTGAACTGAATTCCATAAGCTTTTGACACTTTGATTTCACAGTGATGTGGAATAAAAAATCTTGTATTTTTAAGTTTCACTGACATTTCTCCTCTGTGGGATGCAAAGAAATAGCATTTTTAGTAAGGCTGACGTCATCATTTTTGCTAGGCTGATCTCTGCAAGCATTTAAATAATGAAGGTTTTAATTGCATAATCCTGGCAAAAGTTGAAATACTGTAAGTTGGAAACTATTGTATATAGCCTAGTTTTCAATACATGTAGGAGGCGAGAGTTCCAACATCTACTCTACAGACATATATTCAATTTATGTCATTTATAAGTAATAAGGAGAATTGCAAGGGGAACTGGCAATGTTTAAAGTTGATGTAGCATCAGTTAATGTAGCCTTCAGTAGCAAATTCTGAGGATTTTGAGAGGATTTACTTTAAGATAGGTGACAAATTTTAGGCAGGTTTCAAAAGTTGCTCTATCTTACATCATTCAGACTCACAGTCTTTTTGCTTCAATTAAGAGCAACAACTTTGTGATGAGAGGCAGACGTATGTTATTGTGGGGAGCTTAATGAGGTTTTGTGATTAGTGCTCAGGCTTGCAAGGAAGCTTGAACATGTCGCACTTCTTGCTAAATCCTGAAATTAAATACAGCTATATATATCACACTGATTAACTTGGATCGGTTCTGGCTGTTGCATTTCAGCTGATAGATAGGATTCATGAGATAGAAGCTGGCCATAGCAGTCAAGGAAAGAAATAAACCTGTGATTTAACAATTAAAAATAGCGCTTTTATCTAATTAGATGATGTGAAGAGGAAGTGGTCTTAGACAGATAAAAAATGAGGGGAAAAGAGATTATGATATCCTGCTTATGTCAAGATCTTGAGCAAAATTATGGTAACTGTCATGCCAAAATCTTAGATACAACTTTGGATACTTATTAGATATCAGAATGTTTGAATGTGCATGAATGCATGCAGAGGAGTATAAGGAATGCAAAAGAGATTGGAGATGTGGTGGGACTAAGAATTTAAAATTCCTGTTGTGGACTGTGTATTCAATAAATTGGAGATGAGTGGTAAAAGAAAGGTTCCCTATGAAAAGAAGAGTAGGAAATTTTAATAAAAATATAGAAAGGATGTTGAATGTGAAATGTTGGAAGAAGTAGGACAGATTGACAGGAAGGGACATACACACACAGTATGACTATTATAGAGATAGAAAAAAAAAATACTTTTCTTAACTTTAAAGACCGAAATACTGGAAGTGCTTTGACAACAATGGCAACTTCTGTGGTAACAGAAATTAAATGTTACTAGTTATTATGGCTGGCACCTTGTCCATCTACCTTTCAGTGTTCAGATCCCAATGTGTAGCTGTGTTGGGTGGACTGGATTCAAGAAAAGCTTGAATTCAAAGTCCCTTGGCCCATCATGTGTGATTTCACCATGTTCACTAAAAGTTGCAAGAAACCAAGTTCCATGCAAATGGGAAAGGCAATGAAGACTAATGTTTAGAAAGTCCTACAATTAGCCGATAGAAATTTCACTTGCAAGGCGTTGTTCTCACTCAGACTTGAAGTCAAAATTTTAAAGATTTGATATCCTTTTATATATATATATGTACAACTACAGTAACTAAAATACATTATATGACAAATATGTACTATTATTCTTTAGAACACAAAGAAACTTGACACCTCTGGAGACTGGTAAATCAGAGAAGTTGGTGTCAGCCCCCACTGCTTGTAGGTGGTTTGCTGTTTTTCTTCAGAAAAGACCAAATATGTAACTGGGAGTGAGTGTTTCTGTTGTTCATAGGGCTCAGAGCAGTGATTTGGGTGTGTGGGCCCTTGCTAAGAAGCAGTGCTTTGGGTGCACTTGCAGAGCTGTTGCCCCATTCCCACCAGCAGCAGTCTGCTTTGTTCTCCCTCAACCTCAACATGCTCAAAGAGCATGTGGGCATGGTCAGGAGACCTGAGACTACTCTGCTGCTCTGGCAAAACCCAGCTATAGATAACAGCCAAAGTCACCTGATGGCCACTTCCTTACACTTCCCTCTAAAGCACAATAGGAGAAGTTAGCTACCAAAGGCAAGTTCCTCCATTAAGTGACTAATCAGTTGGTTTTAATTAGATTGGCTAAGAAATAGTTAATGTGCTGGAAGTCTAAAGACAGTAATTTCCTTGAGAAACAAATACTCGTTCCCTTTCTTTCCAAGCTCACACTGTGGGAGTTTGGGTGGAGAGACTGCTGAATCACCTTACCCATACATAATATGTTTTAATGTCAATAAACTTATTCTGCTGTTAACTTCTTGATATCACAGATGTGTACTAAGTAATTGGGTTCTGTGAAGATGAAACTCTATGGCTTCAACCTTTATATAAAGAAAAAAAAAAGGTATTTTTGTTTGTTATTCAGGTAATTGGAGTCATATAAAAGCAATTTCGATGTTGAGTCACGATACTGGTTTAAGTAGTAAACTAGTCTGTATTATTCAGCTAAACACATGAAGTGTATCTGAGGGAAAAAGGTGCGAGGGAAAGCTGATTAAGTTTTAAAAAGAAATTACCTACCTTGATTTGTTTATTTCTTTTAGATGGAAGATTAAAAATCTTTGGGAAAAAAAATGACTCTTCTACAATTTTCTGCCCTTGAATTGCTAGTGCATTGAAGCAATTATTTTAAAGACAACTATGTTCCTTAAAGTTTTTCACTGTGCATTCACTGAAATACTAGGTTTTTATGGAATAAGAAGCATAAAACCATACAGGAATAGTAACTGTGTTTTTTACTCATTAAAGTGTTGATGCCTCTGAAATATTCATGAATAAAGGGGAAATGCTTCATATTTCTATCACTTCCAATTTCCCAACACATTTTTCCAGGTTGCCTTATGCTTTGTATGAAATAAATATAATAATAATAATAACAGTAATAATTTATAAATACCAGCAGAAAAAAAAACACAGCAGAAATAGATAGATATAGATATTAACCAACAGATAGATTTTTCAATAGAAAATACTGACTTAAGAGAAAGACTTAAAATACAGTGGGCCTAAATATGAAATTATAAGTTATGGCTGTGATGCTTATTTTAAAATTAATACGCTATTGCTAGTCTATTTTTAGAATCTTTAAGTTATTTTGATTTAACTTAAGCTGATGAAGTGAATGGAAAACTGCTCAGCTTAAAAGGGTATCATTTCTATTTATTCTGAGAGGTATGTTAGTGGTTGCAAAAGTCTGAATGGCTTGAAGAATAATTCATTGATCCCATCCAGCTGTTTAGGATGTATGTGATGGAAATGTCTAGTTCAGATTAATCCATCTGAAGCAATGCAGTATTAAAGTGAGACTGAAGCAATACAGCATTAAAGTGAGACCCAAAGTAAGCAGGAGTAATTATAGAAAGCAGAAGCAGGGCACCAGTCAGCTTAATAGTTTTTCATTGCATTTCCTATTTTAATTCTATAAAAAAAAGATAGTCTTCCTAAGGAGCTTCACTTTCCTAAAAATCCATTGCTTTCGCTTCCAAATAGAGTGTGATTGAGTTAGAAAATTGTAGAAAGTAACCTATAGGCTGAAATTAATATTCTGAAGTTTTTGAAAAATGAAGGAGCCCTTGCTAAATTAATAAATGAAAGGAAGTAATGGATCAGGATGTCCTCTTTTTTTGTTAAGATCCAGGCAGAGACTGCAGTGGTAATAATTCCTGTCTGTCCACTATATTTGAAAATTTGTTTTAAACTGTAAGATAATTTGTTAAAAAATGCATTGTTAGAGGCATCTTTTTCATGGTCTCATTTAAAGAGAAAAGAAAAAGTAATAATCAGCCTTCTTTCAAGAGTCTATTACCTTACTAATAGACCCCTCACAAGCCTCCCTCTCTTAAAAGCTTCTCTTTTTTTTCCCCAAAATAAGATGTAGCTGCCAATTTAAACTTTATGTATATACAAACAGAAACCCAGGCCCAGGCAGCTCTGAGACTGCTGCAATTACTAGGATATTCTCTACAGTACAACACATGTGTTGGAGCAAAATTAACTGAATAATAATTATTAGGTGCAAGTTAAGCTAATTAGCTAGACTTGATCTTCAGTGCTCAAGTTGCTTTGGCTTGGCCAGCTGTAACTGACTATGAGCAC